TAGGCTACGTAAGCAAAGAAAGCAAAAATGACCCGAAATTTCGTCGCGTGATTTTGAGCTAAACTATTTAACTACGTCGTAGTCTTAGACTACAAAAATTAAACAAATAAATGGGACCCACCTGCAAGCATTACCTTTCGGATAAAAAAAAAATTATGAAGAAAAAGGAATAAAAATTCAAATTAATATTCCATCTCTCGCCAGATTTTCATTAGCTTGACGAGATATAAACCTGATTATCTTATTTTAATGAAATATCAAAGAGCCCAACAAAGTTGTTACAATCTTTGATGATAGCAAAACGTAATTTTCTCAGTAATAAATTAATTTTTCACTCGATTTTGTGCGCGGCTACCGACATTCGGCAGCCGGCAACCGACAACAGGCAGCCGATAGACAAAGCGTCGTGTTTCACAGCGAATTCACCTCCAATAGGCAGCGGTAACTTTCATCGTAATTACTTTAAATAACTTTGGTATGTTATACACGCTTATAAATTCTCCAATATTAATAATTCTTTGAATTCCCTTGATAATTAACGACTCAAATAGAGCCGTTAATTATCTCTTTACGTTTAAAATAATAATGAATATCTCTAAATATTTTTAGTCGTTTCGTGTAAGAGAAAATATGATAAACAATAACTAGGACATAGACATTTCGACGAATACTGAAAGAAAGGTACTATCTCTTGTTTCAACTCATCAATTTCGTTGTTATTGTAAACTTCAAATTACGTTTTACTTGTTAAAATATGAACCTTGTTAAGTAGAAACATGATTCAAATAATATTCAGTAAACCATTATATCAAACTTCTTGTGGCCTTTTGCCTAACTTAGCTAATTTGTATGCGAATGATAACGATTAGTTCTGAATATAATTTGAGCTGGGTACCCGAACTCAGCTCGGCTTGTTTTAATTTCATGCGTTATACAAACATATATGTTTTTCTTATAGGACTTTTATGTTTACCTTATTTTGTGCCTTACAACAATGTTCAGGGTTTTTTAATATAACTAAATTTACTCACAACTTTGACTAATTTTAATTTCTTCAACATCTACTTTTAAGTTTTTTTTTATTTAAATATACAAACAATTCCACAAAAACCAGCAGTTCTCAAGAGAAAATAACAAAATTGTTATTCGAACTTCCTTATTACCCCGAGGAACCGAACAGTTCAGGAGATAAATTGAATATAATCAAACATGTCCAAATAATATTGCGCGTTTTATACTATACTTCTAACCTAACTCCCTTTATCCGTAAGCTATGAAAATAACAGTAGAATTATTTGTGTATTCGAAAATCCGTAAAATAAAAAGTATCACATGGAAATAATTTGTCATATGTGATTCAAATATTTTGAATTAAAAGAGATACATAAACGTATGTGCTAATAGTTGTTAATTAAGGGGTATATTCACCTCTTTATTAGACAAATACGTTATGTAAACCAATTACCCATCTCTCAAATGTGCAGGAAGTTTAAATATTCCCGGAACAAGCCGGATCCCGCGGGTCCCTCGTGCCAATTACGAGCCTCCCCTGTCCCGCTTCTTTTTTCTACAACAAGCAGACTGCAAAACTCTTAATTCCGCCCTCACCTTTTTTCTTTGCGTAGGAAATTACAGTCGAATGGAATAATTCCACCGAAATCGAATGTTTCCTTTTACTCGTTACATTTTTCAATTTTTATAAGAGAAGCCATCGAGTGAATTCCGGTACGAATCTGCCGCGAGCCCGCGAAGAGCTCACGGTAACGAATACACGCTCTGTTGACTATGAATTACATTTACGTCTTAGCAGACTATTGATTCCGCATTTAAATTAATTTATGTACATACTTTTTATTGTGTTTAATTTCGGTTAAATTTTGATGACTTTATAACTCGATGTTAAATGTTGTTGTTGCAGACAAGTGCTGGAGAACGGCACATTGGTGTTTCTGCCGTTCTCAGCGGCGCAGTACCGGCAGGAAGTGCACGCTGCGCTGCTCCGCTGCCGGGCGCACAACGCACACGGCGCCATCCTGTCCAGAGACATGCGGGTGCACGCCGGTAAGTCCCTACTACTACACAAATCAACGTCTATTCCCTCTTTCTTAAAATTAAAAAGGAAAGAAAACACTTTTTTCAAGATTTATTACAAAAAAAAAGAAGCGCTCCGCCGCCGGTGTGCCAATAACTCATCTAACGAAGCGAAGCGGACACCAACGGGCAAAAAAGTCAGGTTAGCGCAGCGTGTCTTACTTGAAAAATGTAAACTGATCGATCGCGTACTGGGGAATGTTTTAACTAGACAACGTGTCGTATATTAAACCATGGCATGGAACCTTCGAAGAGTAAACTGATCAATTCAATCGACTCTGTGATTCATTAATTTAAGAAAACGTGCTTTATTCCGTGTTATAAGTACGTGTTGTTGCTGTTATCGTCATTGAAATAAATACAAAGAAAGACCTTTACGCACATGTTTATTTGTATTTTTATACGCTGAGTAATTTAGCGCGATATTAAATGAAACCACGTTATTAACTAACCACCGACTTGTATGATTAAGCTAGTGCGCCACGTGCTCCTACCCCCCACCTCCCGCGACCCCCCACCCCGCCACCACCGGGGACCTATAACACACAGTTAATTAGGAAGTCGCTCTGTCACTATAATCGGTTACATTATGTCGCGACAGGCTTGTGTTTTAAATGCATTTATATTTCATAGCTCTATCTCTAATTACTCTAGCTGTTAATAAATAACGAGTTGCATTACACGATAAGGTAACATTTTGAAGTCTGTTAGATTTTAAGCGGCGCTTACGAAGCAGTATTTGAGTTTCGTTTCAGTATTCTGCCGTCAGTAGGAGTCGAGCTATCAATAGTACTGCCTTTAATTACTTGAAGTGTAATTTTATGATAAAGGGATAAAGAATATAGTGTGAACAGTGTAAAAGTTTTCTAAATTCCTATATTATTTTTATATGATTGTATCTAAAAGAAACTACCCCTTTACTGCTACTGGCAGACGTGCTAGTTAACTGACATCTACGCAGAGTTAATTGCTGGGTGTTGGCAGCGCAGTAATTACGGCCGTGGTCGCCACCTCCTACGTTATACGTGACGGGTCGTATAAAAACGACTCATCTTTCTCATTAATAACAATACGTGAAGATATATAAAATTATTGTAAAATATTTTTGACCTCAATCACCTAATTTAATTTATCTATCTGATTTAATTTAAAATTACCGACAGATATAAAATAAAAGATGTAGGAACGAGCAATTAAAAGAGCTTAATTACAAGAAGCAGACAGTTACAGTTCGTTGAAACAGATCACATCAGTGTATCAATGTCGCGCCGCTCGCCGATGTTTCCAGCTGAATGAAACCAGAGCACCCTTTGATGTCAGTGTTTAATTGTATCGATATCGAGTTAATCAGGCACTCAGGCCCGCCCACTGTTCTGTACAAAGTTCACTCAATTAAGGATTATTAAACACTCAATTTAAGAGATGGTGCTAGGTTTCTTTTCCTTTTTTGTAAACTAGGAACTATATTTGTGTTATTAGATATTACTTTGTGTAGTAATGTAACTAAGAGTTATGTGTGTGGACCTCCACACTCCATTTCTTTCTCCGTTTATTTCTTCCATTTCTTTCTCTACCGATGTAGGTACATCGGAAGAAATGGATGGATTGCGTGAAAGGTAATATGATCAAGAAGGAAGTGATGAGTGAGATGACATATGATAAAGTTATGTGGAGAACAAAGACCTGTCGGGCGGACTCTACGGGAGTAAGATATACAGGAAGATGAAAATGTAGTAATGTAACTAAGTGATTTTAAAGAAAGCACATAATGTATTTCAATATCATAGTGGACAATTGGCTGTAGGCGTAGTTTACCATCGATGTATTAACAAGTAAACATCATAAATAAAACAAAACAATTCGGGGACAGTAAAGTTCAACAAAAATAAAACGATAAAATTCGAAAAGAACTTTGTTGGAGAAAAAAAATATGCCGTCGGTGAGCAAAATGTTGGCAACGATTCTGCTTCAATTTGCGTAAACAACGGAAACTGTAGGTGGCTGTAACTTTTTGTGCCCCCGGCCCAGGCACCGGGGAAATAGCCGGAATTGAACAATTTGTTTTTGTACTCTAAGAAACTTTTAACACTAAAATATAATTAGAAGACGTTTGGAACGTAAAGGTCAAATGTTCTTTTTCACAAAGGACTTGATATTTCCTTATGAAGTGGTTTTAATAAATATTTACAATAGAATTATAACATAGTTAATTAAACCTTGCAAAGATCTACTAAATACGAGTGTGCCTAATCTAAGGTATCTGTAATTACAATGAATAATTCCGTGACTAATGTTAGGAGATTTGGTCAAGTTAAAAAACTCTTGCTTAAAAATAGCATTCTGTGACAACAGATCTAAAATGCAACCTCGGTAAATGCGCTCAGTCTAAATCGCAGAGGAAACGAGCAAATTAAATTATCGTCTGGAAATTCTGTAAGTTAGTTCACTGCAGGTCATGAAGATTCAAAAGACAGAGTTTCAGTGAAGTTGTTGCTGCGGCGTACAAAGCCACGAATAGTCGATGTAAATTTAATTCCTACGATAACCATTAGGTGAAACTGTATTCTACGTACTAAAATAACGTATAAAGTTACATGCTTAATTGTAGGTATTTCTTGAGCAAATATGGAAGTTAAACAAACTGAAAATACTACTGCTAACGGAAGAGAATCATAAAATATTTATCGTTGGCTGGGAAATGTGTTGTATTTATCAAAAATATGTTTTTAAAAATTAATCTAAAAATAAATCGTCATCATACATCCAAGTTCTGCATTTCTTTCATGTGGTAGAGTCAAACCAAGATCTCAGATTTTCTCTCATATCTTTTTGATAGCATTTTACAATATTAACATTGAATTCTTTATAAAAAAACCTCATCAAATGTTCACAGCTTTCTGCACTTATTCAAAAGGTAATCGTAATTAAAAATTGTGCCAACTACATATTTAGTTAATTCTGTGAAGCGCACCAAGTGTTTTCAACTAACACACACATTCTATTTAAAGTTCCCCTTTCACCGGCGGCCGCCCCGCGCTCTAGGAAGCATTCAGTTTGCGACTGCCGCTGCAGCGTGCTGTATTTGACAATGTTAACTTTGCTACCGTCGTTGAGGAAAGATATTTAAAAAGAAATTATATATCATTTTAAAAAATCTTTAAAAACACTTAGTAAGCTGTGCTTACAATCTGATAGACGTCAGAATGTTAATGGATTTTGTGTACCGTGTTCTTATCATTTGAGACGATTTATTAAAATGTTTTAGTATTCTGCTGTTAGTAATTAAAAATGTAATTGCTTTAAATTTTATTGTCATAATATTACCAGAAACCGTACAAATGTACTGTAACATCATAATTAACGACATGTCTCTGATTAATCCAGCTACACTTTACTGGACGTCCACGACTAAATCCCGAGTTATTAATTAATTCCCACAAACCCTCGTCACGATAAACGCGATATGCACAGTCTCACATGAGTGTGTCAGTGATCACAATTTAAAACGGTTGAGGTCTAAAATTGTAATGTTGTATTTTTAACTTATGAGATAGGATACCGGTAATAAATGGCGTAATAAACGAAAACTTAATAATATTTCGAATAAATACTAGTTAACATTTTTTTAAACAATTTTTACAAGTTATTTACCTTCCAATTTGAACCTTCAAACAACCTCAACGCACGTGTAATTATTTGTACCAACAAGTAGAATCGATCGGTTTTCGCTAATTAACTTTGACAAAGTTCCAAAGCTGAGAGTGTTTCCTTCAATTACTCCAATCATTGTTCTCCATACAAACTCCAATTGAATTTCACTGTCGACTTCCCGCCGCTGCCTCTCTACGCAATTTGATTACTTTGTTATTCCGTTTCAATTTTGTTATTTGTTTTAGAATTTCTCTTTTCTTGTGGTTTCGTTTTTCTTACAGGAAACGTAAATTATTGTCAAATCTTTTACCCGATAAAGTAGAGGCTTTTTTCTACTATACATACATCATATTCTCTTGTCTTTTCGTTATAGGGAATTTATTCAACCTTTACCAATTGCATTTTTTTTAGATTACTTTAAATTTTTACTTTGTTGAGCTCCGTAACCACACCTTCGTGAAGGGCGCGGCATTGCATATTCATGACCCCTGAGCCTGGTTATTGTGCAAATGAGCAAATTTATAGCTGTTGTGAAATGCCTGTGTCAATATTCTACAATGTCGAAGTATCTACTAAATATTCTACGTGTTACTTTTATCAAACAGCACGTATTATATCAGACTTATGTTGTACATTTAAAATAAACATTTTGCTTTTTTATTACGTCAGAAAATCAACTACCATTTTCAGCGCAACTTAAAAGCGGAAGAGTAATAAAATAAAGTAAATGTTCACGTTAGTATTATTTATGTTGATGAGAGGATTTATCTGAGACGACACAGAGCGCTACTGGCGATGTATATCAGCGAGACTCGGCAATATGTTTCTCTGACAAGGAGACGTCGAGCGCGAAAACAGTACATATTGTGAGCGAAAATGTCTGGATTAAAGCCTTTTTTTTTATCCAAGTAAAATTCATTGTGGTAACTCCTATACACAGCTGTACACATTTGCAATAAATAATGGTTAGCATAAACATATTTAATTATTAACACGGCACTGATCTATGAGTCGATCGGATTTAATCTATATCTGTACACATAGATGGCGCCCTCATTAATAATTCCGCACCAGCGCCGCAACCGCCGCCGCCTTCGCCGCCGCCGCGTCACACCCTTGTCTGAGATTTGAGATTACCGAAACCTTAGTAAAGCAAGTTAAATAACACGTTTATTTTATTGTTACACTTTTAAAATCCCTTTTTTATTGTATATGCCTATTAACTAATGAAATGTGGCTCAATATTACTCCATGGAGATCAGTAATGACGTAGAAACATATATTTATTTTGCACAGAAGTTACACTACGGCTACAATTA